GACCTTGTGCTGGCTGGCAGTCACAATTCACCCCTGTTTGTTTCCTACCAGCCCCGTGCATGGAGACACAGGGGCCAAAATGCATTTAGCAATATCCTCATACACCTGTACTCTTAAAACTGGCCTAGTTTGGAAACACAATTTTTGACTTTTTACTTTTCAAATCACCCCTGCCTGAAAACGAGTGTTTTGTCACAGTTAAAACTGTTAAAACAGACCTAGCCATTTAATAAGTACTGTAAATCTCTAGCAGAAGCTAAGGGCTTTAGACCAAATGCCCAAGTTAACCTTGGATTTGATCTTGACTGTGTGATTCAGCCTAGCTCCAGCTTGTCTCTCATGTATTATCATGCCATCTGAGTCACAGAGTTTCAGTAAGCATATTTTTCTCTGAAAAATAAATGTGCAGTATATCTGGAAAAAACCCACAGGGTGGTTTATCGACACTTACCTCTGTTTTAAAGGTGTTTTGAGACTCCTCAAACATGCCCAAGTTTGCACGTCTGTTTTCTAATCCAAATAAAGATGGTTGCCAGAAATGACTTCTCTCTGTTCAGTTTGCATGACATTAACCAAATAAAAAGCTTTATCAGTTATATATTTTATTACTGATGCTACTTTCTATCATTTTAGGCTTTTGTGTGAAAATAATACTTTTTCTTCTATTTTACAAACTGAGTAATGACAAATGTCATAAATGAAGAAGAGGATGGATATTGTTTTCATCCAGATGTTAAAAGAGTTTTTAAGGATTTGGTTAAAACCTTCACCACAACAAAACCTCATCAGGTGCTTATTTTTCAGAATGCTTCACTCTGTGACTCAAATGTAATGTAAATCATAAGATGTGGAAACTGGGGCAAGGTACTATACAGTAGGTTGTGGTAAGGTGAAAGTGAAATACTGGCTTTTGAAACTCAGAAATTTAGTAGGTAAGCTTGCGGATTTCTTGAATTGTCTGTGCAGGCTCCAGCACACAGCAACCAAGTGAGCTCGTGAGTATCACTCTAAGCAGCTGGTGAGCCTTTATTTAGTAACCCACTCTTTAATACACATGTCAGAGGGTCTCTCAGCCGACTGGAGACACTGGTAAATGGCTATGGACCACATCAGTCGCTTAAGTACTTCTTTATATTGTTTGAATTGACTGAACAGTTAGACGGTGATGCAGAAATAGGAGAGCAGACTTGCCTGTGAAGGGTGATAGAGGAAGAGAACAAAGGGCTGAACAGACGGCAGCTGGGTTTGTGACAGTAGGAAACCTCGTCTATCATGTCCACACACCGACTGTACCCTTCTCCCTTCATGTCTCCCCAGGAGCCAGACCACTGACTGACAAGCCCCGTAGGACTGTAAACATCAGTTTAAGAAAACGAATAGGTTGGATTTTGTTCCCAGAAAACTCTTTTTTTTTCCCCTTGCTCTTGCATCAAATAGCATCACTGGTTTTCTATTTTGGACACAGCACCTGAAGGCCAAGCTTTCCCACTAAACAAATGTCAAACATAGTGAGAAATGTGAATGACTGATACATCCCGAGGATGTTTGCTCCTATAAAAACTGTGGTTGAGGTGAATCAGCTAAAACCACTTGGTGAGGGTCAGAGAAACAGTCACAACTTCCTGCACTGAACAGAACACAATCAATAAAGAATAGTTACGTATGAATACAAGTTTTTTTTTATAAAACACTGCAAATTCCTACTACCAAATCCTTCAGTCTTCTCTTGCTCCATGAATGAAAGACAAACCAATTCCTATCATTTCAGCCCTCTTTTACAGATCCAGTCCCCACCCACCCCTCTTCGCTTGTCATTGGTCCTGATAATAATACATTGTCAAAAGCAGGGGTTAGCAGCTAATAAGGGGTATTAACCCAGAGGGAACAGCTATCATTATGATTTGGAGGGTTCAGAGAGATACTGTACATGATGACAAAGGAAGAAAAGCCAAGAACACCCAACAGGGAGCCTGTTCTCTTGAATTGGAGTCTGACTCACACAACATCTGTACAAAGGATCTGGATCTGTGAGGCCCTGAACTATGATTAGATATGTTTGAATGTGAAAGAAATTATTCAGCTGGTGATGTCTTCTGCTTCAGGAATTGGTGATTACAGCAGTATGAAATATTTATTGTAACACCAGAGGAAATGAAGTGTGTGGAGGTGAGGTTATGAAAGCAACCTTTTGCACACTTGACGAGTATAGTTCATTAGGTGACAGTCATATTGTATGTCAAGCAGGATGCCCACTCCATAATCGGCAGGCGTGTATAGAGTATGTGACAGGCCTTTTCCATATATATTACCCCACAATTACACAGCTCATTGAAAGGGTGACTTCTGCATGCATCAAACGTATGTGTTTTTAAGATGGACTCTCACTCTCTCGATTCTCTTATCTGCTCTTATTCTCACTTACACACACACACACACACACACACACACACACACACTTGTTCTTCTTTGTGAGGACACTCATTGACATAATGCATTCCCTAGCCCCTTACCCTAATACTTAACCATCAGAACTAAATGCCTAACCCTTACCCTTACCCTAACCTAAACCTAATTCTAACCTGAATCCCAAAACCAAGACATAACCTTCAAAAAGGTGTTTCAGAAAGTGAGGACCGGCCAAAATGTCCTCACTCTGTAACAAAACAAAATAAACTAAGTCCTCACCATTTAGCCAGTACAAGTACACACACATTTGACTTTATCCTTTGTGGAGACCTACCATTGATTTAGATTAATTCCTTGGATACTTACCATAACCTTAAATCAAATTGTCACACTAAAATTAAATGATTTACAAGGTCTAACATGAGTCCCTACAATGTGAGGGTGTAAACAGATTTCGGTCCCAACAATGTGACAAATACAGGCACAGTGTCTCACTCCATCTCTCACGCAGACACACACACACACACTCGTAAAGCAGCTGTGCAGCAAGGGAAGGCATCGACCCTCTCCTCTAGGCTAATTTCTTCTTCCCAAACTGATCTTCTTTCTCATAGGTGGCATCTGCACCACCTCTCTGCCCAACTGCCTTTCTTTCCAGCACAGAAGCACACACACATACGTGTTGTCAGATGAATCATTTGCATAAATGTAGGGGGGTTATCAGAATAGGACTCATCATTTACCTGAATGGTGTTTAATTGCATATCACTGAGGCATGTAATCCCAATCTCCTCATCGTTACAAGATGAAGAACCCAAAATCCAAAACACTTTGCTACCGTCCTTTCTCCATCAGAGCTGATTCTCCACTATCGCCCACCATTTCCAGCATAATACAAACATGTAAATGGTTGTTCACTCAAGTAACTGAAACACAAATTGCTTGCCAGGGTCTTTTTTTTTAAACTGAGCTAAGAGATGTGGCAGTGAGTTTCTGTGCACGGAGAAAGCCCATCAATAATGCACACACAGCTTGTTATAGCTCAAACTCACTCTGCTTCGATGGCTCCCCAAGCTAAAACCCAGTATTAAAGACCAGAAAGATGTGTTTCTTAGTGTGTGTGAGGAGACACACATATGGCAGCACTGATGTGAACGCTGGAGCAGTAAAAGGCGTTGAAAGCCTTGACTTTCAAACCCTTAATGGGAAAAGGAGTTACTATTTATTCTCAGTGAACAAGCGCTGTAGGAAGAATCATTTGGCACATAAGGTGGATTTACTTTCCTGAAATCTTTTTTTGAAAAAGACATTATTTGTACCAAAAAATCATCAAGACTAGGGCTAAGATCGAGGTCAGGGACATAGGTGCTGTGTTGGAACCCTATGGCTCTCTAACATCCAGTACTTTGTAAAGAACAGAAGAGAGGAAGGAAAGAGGCTTTCAGTGCTCTGCTGGTGCTGAAAGAAGCTGGATTGATCGCAGTTTACAAGGATTTCTGTAAAGAGACTTGTCAGAAAGGTTTAAGCAGCTTTTTCATCTTATAAAGCCTCTGTTCCCACCCGTCTGAAGGTCTTCCTCCAAACATGCTTTTTGCTTTTTATTATTACTTAGAATTGTCTGAATTTGTTCGATATCACAATCTCATACAGTAGCTATCAATCATAACTAAATCCCACAGAAAGGGTGGGGCTCTGTCACAACTTTTCTACCACATAGTCTTTACCTGGTGCAAACTATGGGGGAGCTCGGTTCCCCTTAATAAGCCATGAGCTCCTCTGAAAACATGATTTGAAAAAATTGGTGGCGTCTCAGTCTAAAATATTCAAAGTGTTATTTTGCCATATAGGCTATTTCTGTTCTTTGTATCTTTATCATCGTGGATCATGCGTAAAATTAGGCTATTATTGATTTTTATTGATGTATGATTCACACATAAGGATAATTTGGCACCATTTTTTTTTATTCTTGCCAGCACCATCGAAGTGTGGCGCCGCAGTAAACTTCACTTTAGTGCAGAAAATAATCTCTGGATCATGTCATTTGCCTTAAAATAAAAGAAGAAGAACATTCTTCCTACTCAATCTGGGCGTGAATCGCCATTTTTCGTTTAGGCTGCAGATCATATGGTGTCATAAAGAAAACGAGGCGGCTTAAGTTTTAAGTGCCCCAGTCAGTCCTCTCTCACACGCAAGGGACTTGTTTTTTCTTCTAAACAGAAAATAAAATAGGTAATTAATGTATGAACCATAACAATCAGGAATACAAAGGTGTATATACTGACACAGGAGAATGCACATAGTAAAATGATCTCTCTGTCTTTCTCCTCGCTGTTCTCTGTGCCTCATACGCGCACCAATGGTTACTTTAGATCCGTTTTTCTATCCTTATTAATTCTTATCAACAGGATAATGATTTAAAAAAACTAAATCATGTGCTTTAAAAATATTATATCTGTCATTAAGTTTGCCCATGAAAAAGTGGGGGGAAAGTGAGTTCCCCCGAAAGACGTGTTATAGTTCGCACACTGGTCTTTCCACCGAACTTTCCTGACCGTTGACTTCGCTCTCCGCTCTCCACGGACGTTTCAACTCACCGGCAGGAGACAGTGATCTCTACTTTTGTGGCGGGGATGTTGCCGGTGATCGGGTCGAAGTCGTACACCGATGACATGTCCTCCAGCTTGTCCATAACGTCTCCCTCCATCATCTCCATTGCCAGAGCTCGCGGTGGCTCCGGTCTGATCCTAGAGGCGCACAGCCTGCGCCCGACGGAGCGCGACGATTCTCCGGTGAGCTCAGAGACCAGATCAGAGACCAGATGGCCTCCGGTCCGATCGGGTGAGGCAGCCACTTCACAAATGTTGAGGCTGGTGAGGAGGGAGGCGTACTTAGTGAGTGGACACCCGCAAAAGACAGAGGCGCACTTGGTTAACTGCCCATGCAGCGTAATTAAAATTTAAAAAAAGAATAAATCAATAAAAATTGTGGGGTCAGTATCTGAGACTAATGTTGCACCTTCATCGATCGGGTGCACATCACATGGAGAGGCAGAGTGCTCTCTGCTCTTTGTCTTCAGTCTGTGCGCACAGCAGAGCGTGTGAAGAGAAAAAGATTAGATCTACTGAAACCCACCCATTCTCCTCCCACATGGAATTACAGTCAAGTGCTGGCGACCCTGCCCATGCCCCGGTGCTGCTGCTGTCACCGTGCAGCATCCTCTGTACAGTCCAGGGCGTGTGTGGTGATTTAATTAGGCACTGAGGCTATTTAATATTCAAGATTCTATCTTGGGTGTAGCTGAAAACTGTGGCGTGGAATCCTAGCCCGGTGGTCGGGACTCCCAATGCGTCACAGAATAAGGGGTCTTGAGATGGTTAACAGCATCTCAGTTTGATTTGCCTTTTTCCTTCAGGATTATTTGGTCATTTTACCTCATCAGCTTCCCAGAGAACTACTGACAAAGGTTCTCAATAGGACATCACTTTGTTTCAGTGGGTCACAAACAAAAAGATCTGAGAATCACTAGCAACTCTGGGAGGAAACAAGAGGGAGAGAAGATTTCAGCACCACAACGCCGGACAGCTCCCAGAGTCAATTATTCAGTCCAGAAATGGTACAAACGGTAAAAACCAGTAATAAACTCCTCCAGTCTCTCACCGAGCACTAACTGTACATCGAAGCAAAGATGTTAAATCCACATGAATTTGCTGTAAGTAGGTCAAACCGCAACTACTTTTCCATCTTACTGTGTGGAATCTAGTACTTCTCTGCTGTGGAGGAAGCATGCACATGGCATTTTAAGAAACAGTTACCAATTAAAATGTCTTCTTGTTGGCTGATATAAAATCAATATTAATTACAAGGAAAGAATTACATGGAGATTTAATGGCCACTATCCATCATTAGCCTGTTGTATGCAGCTAAGACCTGCCTCATAAACCACATTGTAATGAATATGCTAAGCTGGTGCAGCTTCCTGCCAAGAAAGTGATGGGTTTGTCATTTTTGAATAAGTATGGTTCCTAAATGCAGCCTGTGTGTGTGTCATCCTCTCTTCACTGCCTCACTGGTTATTTCACTCATTCTGACACTCTACACTTCTCTCTGTCTTTTTTCATGCATAAACAAAGGACTAACACTCATAGAGCATACAAAATGTGCACAAACACTAGTATTCATGAATAAACCAGTAACCAGCCATTTCCCACTGATTACTGGTTACTCCTGGATTATTTTTAATCAGCATGTAAAACCAGAGTTGATACTTTTGGGTCAACATGGAAACAGAGACATCAGATGTTGTATCAGTGTACCTTTCCTGTCTGTCTATCGGTCTCTCTCTCTTTATCTCTTACTCACTCTCACATAAACAGGGATGCACACAACTATGAAGCATTTGGTCTCCTTTCATAAACGGGTGCAGAAGCACACAGCTGGTTCCTGTGTGGAGCACCTAGCGTCTGGATTCTGGAAATCAATTTACACCAGCACAGGATGCTTCTGCCCATACAGCCCTCCACCTAGAGGTCAGGAACACATACACACAGTCTTGTATTTCTATCTTTACGCTCACTGACATAATACATTCCCTAGCCTCTTTCTCTAACCTTACCCATCAGAACTAAATGCCTAACCCTTACCCCCAATACTAAACTAAACCCTTAACCCCCAGAAAGGTGTTTCAGAAAGTAAAGACTGGCCAAAATGTCCTCACTTTCCAAAAATGTCCTCACGCTGTAGCAAAAAATACTTTTTTGGTCTTCACTATATAGCAAGTATACGATCTTTCTTTCAGATGTATGCACCAATGGGCAAATATAAAAACAAATTGTTTTCTCATATGCTACTGAATGAACCATAAACAGAGATAAAGAGGCACACACATCTACATGCACAACCCCTTTATCTCCAGGGTGAGTCATGGATTTTAGGGGCTCGCTGTTTCGTGTGGGTGAGCACGTTATTGCAGATGTCCCAAGCAGTAGGATGGCAGTAGCAGGGCCGGCGGACAAATAAACAGGAAGGGGAGGAGGAAGACCTTCACAACTACTATTTTGCCTTGAGTAGTACCCTGCAGTATCAGAATTGTAAACATGCAATTGCAAGAGTTGTACATGTTTTCCATATACTGGGATTCCAGATATCAACTTCATGCATGTATTTATTTCAGTCTTTCTCTCAGTTTTGATCTTAAAGCAAATGGTATTGTACAGGTGCTGAAGCTGGAACAAAGGGATATTTTGTCCTTTGGATATTTTCTATTATGTAATATTTTAGGCCTGTGTCACTTCATTATACCACAAACTTCTGTGCACAACAAGGTACAATCATTTTCACTGTGACGGTCTATAAAACAACGCTGTTTTGCCTGGAGTACAGGGGGTAATCTAATGTGAGCACTCCTACAGTTAGATTAGCCCTGCAACAAATAACACTCCAATTAACAGTTGACAATTTAGAATAAGTGTTGCAGAAAAATGAACGCTTATTAATGCTGGAAATCTTGCTGTTTTAAATTGCTCTGACAAAAAAAAAAAAAGCTTATTTGAGTTTTTTGACATTTTTTCAGGCATCAAACACAAATCTTGTCATCAGGCTCAAGTGTATATTCCTAATGTGCCAGCTTGTTGAGTGATCAATAGCAAGGGCATGTGAAACACTGGATATCTCCTTTGAATGCCATAGCCATCTGACTGCAGTGGACCAGGAGGTGGTCAATGCTTTGTACTGATGGTGACATTAATAACACCATAGAGGATTCAATTGTCCCCTTTCCTCTTTCTCTGTCCTGTTTTCCCAACTTCCTGCAGTTTCCTAAGCACTAATTACTGTGTTTATGCTTACTTGCGTCATGCTGTCCAAAAATATCGCCTTTCTGGAAGCAATTATGCAAAAGCAGACAAATGCCCTGTCAGGCAAGTGCAGCTCCTTATAACAAAATGTGATTTTTTTCACCCCAGCAATCTAGAAAATAATGACGTTTGTTTGCATCTGTAATTTCATTATTCATTTGTTTTAACACTATTTAAGAAAGAAACATTAGAAAGCCTACTAATTATTACATTTTAAATGCCCAACCTTAGACCTATTTCTAAATACAGGAAGTGATCAGCAAATACTAGCTAATTACAGATCTGTTGGCAAGTTTTAGACGCCATTTTCTACATTTAAATTAGTCATTATCTGACTATGTCTCTGTTAAACCTGAAAAGGATCCACACGGTTCTCTCTTGATGGATAGTTTGCCTTCTCCTTTTACTGTTCAGAAAATTGTGTTGCATGTACTATTGATATAGTATGATCGCACAAAAATAATTACATTTAAATAACATTAATAGTAAACTTCAGATTTTGGTGACACCTCTTCAGAATCAAAGTTAAAAAAAAATTCAATATTTTCATTAATGAGCCTAGAGAAAGATACAGTACATCATAGTTGTATAACGCAGTGACGTGCAGTGAGGTTGACAGCTGGTGAGGCACTAACTCTTTTACAGTCAGATATACAAATACAAATTGTCTGTTAACAGACAATGCGTTATGTTTTATATCTCATATCAGCATTCTTCACACAAACGTGACCCATATTTAATTTGAGGTTAAAATTTATTCCAATTGAGCTTATTTCTAACTAGAAATAATAAAAGTTTATGGTCTTACCTTTACTTTTACACGAAATCCATTTGTCAGCTGGGAATCTCTCACAGGTCTCTGTTAAAGGTGCATCATTTTTAGTACCATGACTTTTATTCACAAGTCATGATTTATTTATAGTCAGGACAAAATACTCTTATTCCTTGGATTTTATGTTGATGAATATGTTGGTTACCATCATTGGTAATGCTCATTACTGTTCTCAACATCCAGGGTAAAACACTGTTTGCCAGGAAAAAGAGTTCCCGGCCAACAGTGTTAAAAAGAGTGGTTCAACAAGCTCAAGCTTTTTGGCTTTCCTTTGAGATCGATATAGGAACTTTATCTACAATAAAGCTGGGCTAACTGTGTCCATGCAGCTCAGTGTTTAATGTACAGGAAGGAGAAGGATACAATTAGCTCATCCCACTCTCATAAAGAAAGCAAATATAAGTTTTTCAAACTTTTTCTAGCTATTCTTAAGTACAAAATACATTGTAACACAGCCAATGCTATGAATACCGACCTACTGTGCAAGTTACAGTGGGGCTACCCAGTGTATTAAAGTGACCCAAAAAAGGTCAGAAAATCTGTCCTCAAGTGAAAGCAGCAGTTTGTGACCAACCTCAGAATGTTTTTTTTTAACAGAAAAACCACACTCGAGTCTGGCTTTTGGTTAATCTTGCATCATGTTTATTACAAAAACTTAGTGGCTGTTGAAATACACTCCACTCTGAGTGGTCATGAAACAAGCCAAACATATTAGCAAATGTAGGGGTCTATTCAAGCTATAGTGATGTTAATGCAAGCGGGGTGCTCGTCACATCTGCTGGAGACTCCAGCTCCTGAGGAAGAGAGAAAAGAAATCTCTTAATATAAACAACTGAAAATGAACTGAAACCATGTGTACTTAAAGGCAAAACGACACGACATTTCACGTGAAAACAAGCTTGGACCCACAGAACTGTTCTCTTACCTTCAGGCCTGGTGGGAGCCTTCCTCCTCACTCTCTTTCTCTTTTTGCCCTACACAAAACACAAAACAAACACATTAGACTTTCTACCTGATCTCAGCTGATATAATCAACATTTTTTTCACTGATCTTGTTTTATCACCTAATAAAGAAAATAAACATATGAACGGTGTGTGAGCAGCGTGTACTGTACATAATTGTCTCTGGAGGACCAGTCAGGGTGGTTCATTATGTGGAGCAGATTCTCCATCTCAGCTTCCTCATAATACTTGGCCTGTTCCTCTTTGGACAGCACCTTCAACTGTGGACACACAATAACACACTGTCAGCGCACACACCGACACACTACTACACACAACTACAGGCTCAAACACGAGCATATATAACATATTAACAGATACATGCAGATCCACATCAATGTGGGCAGGCTATGCAATGCACAGTGTACCTGTGCTCTGCAGAAATGCTAGAAATCTATTTTAATTTTGATTTGTTCTAAATTGTTTTCAACAA